TTGCAAATTCCAAAACACGAGTATTCAACTTCCCCATGATAAAAATAGCATTCTCTTCCCATCTGGGCGCTGCAGTGACATGTATTTTGAAAAATACAGCATGTGTATTTTTCTCACCCTTAAGTGCTTTTGGAAGGCCTAAAGAAGTCAATGGCAACGCATCAAAATGCATGCATTTTGATACATTGGCAAACCCATTTATGCTGAGCTTGTGCATATATGCAGCGTTGCGGAAGTGGGCCTTCTTCTGAGGTACCGCATAAATGTGCGTGGAAGTAAGGTGCATAGCGGACTCCCATTGTGAAGATCAAGTTGTCATGAAAAGTTCTCGGCCTTGTACTAACGATCGGGTGCCCCGAGCAATGGCTCTTGATCAAATTATTGCTGTGATTTTCTGGCTTTAACAAGAAATCAATCAGTAAAACCTACCCCTGTGCTATCTTTCTCCTCTGAATGGAGAGACTACTCAGAAAAGAAGACTGTAAAGAATAAAAAAAGTTTTGTGAATTTTTTTTTTTTTAAAAACATAAAAAGAAAATGACTAGACCTGGGCTTGATCTATGCTAGGCCCCTTTCACACTGATGCGGTCCGGTTTCACCACACCGTGGTTGCAACTCAGTGTGCCTGCAGGTTTGCTACTCTTTCCCATAGAGTTCTATCATGTCCTGTAGTTTTGGTGCACCTTCTGAAAGCACACCAAAACCGTTGGACATAATATAGAACTCTATGGGAAAGCCCGCACTAAACTCACGGGTACAGTGCGCTGCACCCAGGATGCACTCAAACTGCACTGCATCCATGTGAAAGGGGCCTTATTCTCAGGCTCAGGGCCAAAGATCAGAGGTCACTATCAGGGTACAAGGTCAGGGTCAGAGTGTTTTAGGTATGCCAATAGGTTGTATTTCAACACAATGCACTGGTACACAACATTGTGGTGTGAACAAGGCACATAGAAAACCATTTTTTCTATGTGCCCTTGCAGTGACCTGTGTAGATTTGGTGTGGAAAAGTGCAGCTCACTTCACATGGTGGGAATGTGCCCTATATATTTTCCTTTAAAGGCTAAATCTACCTTTCCTACAATGCTATATTTAGGATGTAACATGGTGCCTATCAAGACCCCCCCCCCATCCCCAAAATGCCCCCACCTACCTGAACTGCGGAATTCATCTCCCCACAGGATTCTGGCTCTGCTATGATTCATTCAGAAATCTGTAAATGGAGAGACCAAGTCCAAGCAAAGTGGGAATAAATGAAAATAAAATATGTCCCTAGGGGGCATCATTCCAGTATGTACTAGTGTGGAACCATGTAATATATTGTAGGATGTTAAATATGCCCCCCCTGGTAGGATCCAATAGCAGTACATTCAAAAGTCACAATCAATTAGCAACTTCTTTCTTTTTATTATACTAAAATGTGGTTCTAAAAGATAAGTGAATAAAATTTTGGACAAGATTTATGAAGAAAAAACACTTTTTTTCATTTATATAGCAAAAAATAAAATAAAAATCCCAGTGGTGAATAAACACCACCAAAATAAAGTTAAATCTGTCTCAAAAAAATGCTAAAAAATTCTTATGGGTACAGTGTTGCATGACCGCTCAATTGTCATTCAAACTGTGATAGCACTGAAAGCTGAAAATTGGCCTGGACAGGAAGGGGGTAAAAGTGTCCGGACTTGAAGTGGTTAAACAGCTGATTCCGACTTTTTTGATGAAAAAAACCGAAGGTGCAAGCTAGAATGTATTTAGCTGTATTTCTCCTGCGACCTGTTTTCAGGTGACAGTGGGCTGAAGCCTGCTGTTGGCTGACATCACTTACTGGTCCAGGCTGGGGAAAGATCTCGACTTTAAAGTCGGGATCCATCCCAGAGTCTGGAGCAGCACCTGGCTCTCCCTCTCCACAGCCAAGCGCTCTGGTGAGCGCTGGGTGGGGCAGAGCAGACAGGAATGACTGACACTCAGCGCTCTCTGCACAAAGCGGCTGTGAGAACTCAGCGATCAGTGGTCATGTGATTGCTGAGTTCTCACCCTTAGAGTCCATGGGGGACAAACGCATCATCGGACCGATGCTGCATCCACCTAGGTAAGTATGACTTTTTTAAAAAAAGAAATACAGGTGTACCTCGGTTTACAAACGCCTTGGTTAGCGTAATTTTCGGTTTATGAATGAAAATCCATTGAAAATAATGCCTTGGTTTATGAATTTTTTTCGCAATACGAATGTTTGTCGGTGCTGATTTTTAAATGCAATTCCCGGCTTTTTTTTTCTTCACTATAGCTCACAAGATTAGCTGTCACTTTCCCCGGAGTTAAAGGAAACATTGTTTCTTTTAACCAGTACACGCCCAGCCAATAGCCAAAAGGCGGCCGGCAAAATGTACTGCATTTCCGGGTTGGACGCCAAATGCGTCCTCCCGCACATGCTCAGTTTGCGCTCCTGCAGAGCCGCGCAGCGGCGCAATCTGTCACCGGCCGTGTACCTCGGACACGGCCGATGACAGATCTGAGTATCGGCCCCCGTTGCCAGTACCATGTGACCTGCTGTGACCAATCACAGCAGGTCACATGACAGTTGTATACAATGGATGGCTTCATTCATGCCATCCATTGTATACTAGTGTCTAACTGTGAATGGTCACAGCTAATCACATGCACATGTCATGTGATTAGCTGTGGCCAAATCACAGCTAAGCACAAAAAAAAAAAAAACCTTGAATGAATTGATGTCATTCAGGTGAATGCTTGCTTATAGCAAAGTAATTCTTTGCTATAAGCAAATTGTGTAAAAAAAAAAAAAAAAAAAAAAATGCTGATCATTTCCCCAAAGTAGTACAATGATACTATGGTAACATTGTACTACTTTGGACATAGTGAAATATGAAAAAGAAATCTTTAAAAAAGAAAAAAAATGTAATAAAAAATTAAAAATAATAAAAAACATAGCTCACAAGATTAGCTGTCACTTTCCCCGGAGTTAAAGGAAACATTGTTTCCAGCGCCCAGCCAATAGCGCCCCCCCCCCCCCAAATCATACCAGGCCACATGCCCTAAACATGGGGAGTCTGTTCCCCACAACCCTGGCCGGTGGTTGTGGGGGTCTGCGGGCAGGGGGTTATTGGAATCTGGAAGCCCACTTTACCAGGGGCGCCCCCAGATCCCGGCCCCCCCCCATGCAAATGAGTATGGGGTACATGGTCCTGATACTCATTCACAAAAAACAAAAAGTATAGTGTGAAAAAAGACAGGACACTGAGCCACCCGGGGACATCACGCATGTGACCCCACCCCATGTGACATCAATGATGTCACATGGGGCGTGGTCACTCAGGTGATGTCCCTGGGTGGCCCTGCCCCTGACCTATTTAAGAACTAATCATCAGTTTACATCTGTTTTTCATCCGTTTCCATCAGTTTTTTAATCTGTTTGTTATCCATTTCTGTCTGTTTTAATCTGTTTTCATCCATTTGTTTGTCCGTTTACATCCGTTTTTCATTCATTCCAAGTTTTTTTTTAACGGAAGAAAAATAGGATTTTCTTCCGTTCAAAAAAAAACGGATGTTAACAGATGCGGACATTAACAGATGTAAACAGATGATCATCCGTTTACATCCATTAGTCCATAGAAATACATGGGTGTCTGTTTTTCATCAGTAAATGGACAGATGAACAACGGACATACAGAACGCCTGTGTGAAAGAGGCCTTACTGTGGTAAAAAATGAACGTCAGTTTGACAACCCTACCAACGATCTGAAAATCATGCAATTGTTTCTGAAACAAACATTCTAGTGTATGGCTGGCTGTAGTCCATTGATAGTTCCTGCACCTTGGTCCAGATACTTCCTGAACCTTGGTCCAGATACTTCCTGAACCTTGGTCCAGATACTTCCTGCGCCTTGGTCCAGATGCTTTTCTGTACCTTGATACTTCCTGCACCCTGGTCCAATTGCTTCCTGAACCTTGATACTACCTGCACCTTGTTCCAGATACTTCCTGAACCTTGATACTTCCTGCACCTTGGTCCAGAGACTTCCTGAACCGTGATACTTCCTGCACCTTGGTCCAGAGAGTTCCTGAACCTTGATACTCCCTGCACCTTGGTCCAGATACTTCCTGAACCTTGATACTCGCTGCACCTTGGTCCAGATACTTCCTTTACCTTGATACTTCCTGCACCTTTGTCCAAATACTTCCTGAACCTTGATACTTCCTGCACCTTGGTCCAGATACTTCCTGTACCTTGATACTTCCTGCACCTTGATACTTTCGGCACCTTGGTCCAGATACTTCCTGTACCTTGATACTTCCTGCACCTAGGTCCAGATACTTTCTGTACCTTGATACAGCCTGCACCTTGGTCCAGATACTTCCTGCACCTTGGTCCGGATCTGCAACTGGAGGAATAGTCTGCAGGCACCAAAGCATTGCACCCATGATCTGCCGCTTGCCCTTGCCATGTTTAGCAGGATCCAATGCAAAAAACGAGGAAATGCACATTTGTGTCTTTAATCAACAGGTGCACTTCTTGCTTTTGTAAAGGAGAACTATGCCTTTAATCCTATGGAGAGATGAGTGTGTCTGCTGACTTGTACCCACACAATGAGCTGTAGCAGGCTGAGCAGGTGACAGGTCTGAGAAGTGTCTGAGCATGCTCACTCCCACACCTGTCACCCAGCCAATGCATGCTCAATCCACCCACAGGAAAGCCCTGGCCGGATTTTCCCACCCTCCATTCTTATCCATTTGCTGCCAGGCTAAGCTCGGAAATGAGGATCCTGTAATAGAATAATTAGCGGTGGGGAAGCTCTCCTCCTCCTTCTGTCACTCAGGCGGAGGAAGGCAGAGCTCTCTATGACATCCCCTATGGAGACATGAGATGATTCATCAGCAGTGGGATGCTGCGCACTGAGCCCATGGAGGAGAGGAGGCTGGGAGACCATTAAATCCTGGCCTGAGCTCAGCTTCCAGCATCGTCACCTTCCACTACTGGAAACATGGAAGGCATCCTGAGAAAGCTGCAGAAGGAAGCGACTGGCAATAAATACAAGGCGATCAAGGATCACTGTGCCATGGCAATAGGTAAGAAGACAGTGCTGCACCTGTCACATCCTGGCTCCTCCTCTTGTGTCATAGACCTTTCACTCTGATCATGGCTGCATTCTCCTCTATACCTTCATCTATGCAAGTTGGATCGCTGACATTGGCTGAAATCTGATGCATGCTTCCTTGCCTGCCTATTGACAGATGTGGCTTGTTTACATGTGCTGGTGTATTTATTCCTGTGCTGCAGATGTCATTACCAGGCTTGCCATACACACTGCCTAACATCCTTCTAATATTTCTCATTTATATAGTAAACTTTCAAAGCTAAACTCCAGGCAGACCTGTATGCACAGCTGAAAGCGTTTCTCCTGCACCAGATCCTGTACATCCCAAAAGATTTGTAATGATGTCCATCCAGACCTATGATTTACATAGCTCTGCCTGATGGCAGAGACTGGTTGGTGACCTGACTCTTCTCTTCTGCAGTTAAGCAATAAAGCCAGGTCAACTTCCGGCGCTGGGCCTGTGATTGGACAATGACTTAGGATGGCCATACATTATACAATTTTCTTGAGATCTTTGCTTTAGATTTACCAAAAATCATATAATAGGAGGTCAAACCTAAACAATACTTTCAGTTGTATCCAATCAGGCAAGTCCTTGCACTACACAATTGAAGGTAAATCCAAAGGAAATTGGGCAGAAATTGTATAGAAAATTGTATAGTGTATGGCCAGCCTTACCCTAGGTCCACACCTAAGCATTTAGACGAAGCGCACTACAGTCCAATTAACATGATTTCCAATAGGACACGTTCACATCTCCGTGTTTTCAACCTGTGTGTTTTTTTTTTGGAAAGGGTCAGGGACTTTTTTTGAACAAAAAAAGTTGCATGTTTGGTTCTACAGATTTCAATGGAAATGCTGCAAATGCGATTTGCATTTTAAAACTGCCTAGCAACAAGAAAAATTTAAAAAAAAATGAATCAAAAACGCAATGCAGAACCGGCTCAAACACAACCTGCATAGGTATGAACCTACCCTTAGAAAGAGCAGCCTGTCACTATCACCTCCTGTCTGCATATATTGTTTCAGAGCACTTGATTGGCCCCTGCTTGCTGTCCCTCCCTCTTTTAGTATGAGCTTAAAGAGGAACTTCAGCCCCCCCCCCAAAAAAAATACTGTAGCTGCTGACTTTTAATATAGGGACACTTACCTGTCCAGGGATCCAGCAATGTCCTCATCTGAGCCACTTTTTCAGTCGGCATCTTAGGTAAAGGAAGCCGGCAATGAAGCCTGCAGGCTTCACAGTTGGTTTCCTACTACACATGCATGACCCGCACTGCACTTTGTCCCACAATCTTCTGGGACCTGTGATGTGTCCGAGAAGGCTGTGGGGGGCTGACCCCCAAGTACCTACCCCCCCCAAGTTCCAAATGTGGCAGTGGAGGGGGGAGGATGCAAACAAACGGAACGTCCCCTTTTGGGTGAAGTTTCACTTTAAGGGCCCATTCACACTAGGATGCATGCTGCATTTTTCTGTGCGCTTCACATGCAGTTCTGTGCAGTGCAGTTGAGCCCAATCATTTTGAATGGGCTGTAATTGCATTGCAACAAAAGTAGTACATGCAAACGTGCTGCAAGCAGATTGCAAGGTACTGTGTTTGCACATTTGGGGTGTTAAAATTGCACTGACACCCACTGCAGATTTCAAGGGCAGTGCGTTTTTGAATGCAGGAAACCCACACAGAATACATGCAGCGCATTCTAGTGTACTGCAGGCCATACATGGTTCAAATTTGGAACAATTTTTTAGTCCAAAAATCGAAAACATCGTTCACTCGGTAATCCACCATCAATGATTTCGAAAATCGGCCGACCAAGTCATAAAGTTCACCTCCTATAACAGGCAAAACTTCTGTTCCTTCCAGGTCATGGCTCATGCGCATATTCTTTTCGTAAAAACGATCGTACAATTTGACCATCGAGTCGAAAATCGGTCGTTTTTCACAAATTTTCCCAACATGCCCGATCACCAAAAAGGGGAGGAACCACGAAAATCAGCCAGTGCCATTGACCCACTAACAGAGCAAAAATCCTCTGATTATTCTTAGGCCCGATTTTCGGATGAAAAATCGGTTGAATTTCGACCCATGTATGGCCAGCCTTAATGGGCCCTTACTGTACAGAGGAATAAATGTGGCTGATGTTAATCTCTTGCCTTCGAGCTAATACACACTAGTGTGTTGATCTGTGTTTTAGCACACTTTTACAATGCAGATCAATGCACAGACAATAAACAACAATTGTTTTCTATGTGTCCTATTCACACTACAATGCCGTGTTGCATTGAAATGCACCATGTATAGATTGCAACGCATGTAAAATGCATGTCAAGGCACCGCAACACAAGTATAGAGAAAAAAAACGGTGCCTTGTCATTTATTTTGTCGCTAACCCACAAACAGGAGCAAGATGTGTCGTCACAGAAAACATGCAAAATACATAGCATTTTAATGCTCATCACGCAAGTTAACAGGCATTAAAACGCACCTGCAATGCATGGAAACGTACATTCATTTTCCCTGCATTTTACTGCAAATCAGTGTGAAATCCGCTTTAATGCCCTTGTGTTGAGGTGTGCGCTGTGTTCTGCGCTGACAGTGTGCTCCCATGACAGCAACTGAGCTGTCACCAACAGCTCCTGGTCTCTGGTTATGACTGAGAGCCAACAGGACAGGCTCCAAACGATGTGACCACAGTTGCTGCCATTCACAGTGATCAGGAAGTCTGTTTGGCTCCCCTTGCCTTAAGAACCAGTTAACGGACAACAAGGAGGGGCGGGAAGGGGTTAAAGCTGAACTCTAGGTATGATCTTACATTGGTCTAGCTTGGCACAATGTAAGTATGTATATCTCACACCTGAGGAATTCTGGGGAATAATTGTAGTAGTCAGTGCTATTGATAGCAGCAATCTTCCATGTCCGGTGTTGAATTGCTTCCCCACTGTACCATGACCTTAGGGGGTCGCTTGCACAGCACTGATAGCATTCACAGAATGCCACATTTTTTTCACTAAATACAAGGCATCTGATTGGATGATCTCCACCTTTTCCAATCAGAGAACACCTTGTATTCCTTGAAAAAAATGTGCATTCTGTGAATGGCAACTGAGCCGAGTGAGCGACCCTTGTGGTCAGTATGCAGCATTGAAGCCACTTGACATGGGACCTGGAAGATAGCAGCTATCACTGTAGTAGTGCAGACAGATTTTTAGCTTCCCCAGCGACTCAACAGGCATGAGATATGCATATGTACCGCTTTTGCCGCATTCCAGATGCATTGCATACAGAAAAAATGCAGCAGGTTCTACTTTTGTTGACTGCACTAAATGGACTGCATTGGTGTGAACTAGGGCCATTGGCATACATGGGAAACACTGTGCTTGCATTTTTGATGCAGATTAACCAGTTCAAGTCCAGACACTTTTACCCCCTTCCTGTCCTGGCCAATTTTCAGCTCTCAGCATTTATTCACCACTAGGATTTTTATTTTTTTTGCTATATAAATGAAAAAGTCTAAACATTTTGAAAAAAGTATTTTTCTTATAAAAGTTTGCAAATAAATAATCTTTATTCATAAATCTTGGCCAAAATGTATTCAACTATCTTTTTAGTAAAAAAAAAAACAAAACCCAAATTAGTTTATAACCAAAAATTATAATTTTTTTTAAAAAAAATTTTGACATTTTTTATTTTATTTTTTTTATATTATTAATGTGTTTTTTTTTTTTTTTTTTTTTTTTTTTTACATACCGTCACTCTAGCAGTACAGTGTCACCATAGTGACACTGTATTACTTGTGGGGGGGGGTGATGATTTTTTATTTTTTTACACTGATTGCTTTTACACCTATAAAGGCTATAAAAGCAATCATTTCTCCTTCTCTCTGGCTGCATTCTTGCAGCCATCAGGAAATACTGTGTGAGCTGTGATTGATCACAGCTTGTCACATGGTACAAGGCTGTTGTGAATAGCCTTGCACCAAGTGACCTCTGTAATCATTCACAGATATCACTAGTAGTAAGCAATGATGTCAGAAGTGACATCTTGCTTACTACTATTCATGTGATCACTGATTGGCCAATCAGTGATCACATGGTTGGGACCTCACACAGAGGTCCCGTACAGCAACCGATGCCATGCGCTCCCAGAGAGCGCGCACAGGCAGGGAAGCTGGAGGACGTTTATAAATTGATCACAGCTTGTCACATGGTACAAGGCTGTTGTGAATAGCCTTGCACCAAGTGACCTCTGTAATCATTCACAGATTTCACTAGTAGTAAGCAATGATGTCAGAAGTGACATCTTGCTTACTACTATTTATGTGATCACTGATTGGCCAATCAGTGATCACATGGTTAGGACCTCACACAGAGGTCCCGTACAGCAACCGATGCCATGCACTCCCAGAGAGCGCGCACAGGCAGGGAAGCTGGAGGACGTTTATAAATGGCCACCCACTCCTGCACTGCTCCCGAAGTGGTTAAATAAACCCTGCACTGCAGCTGGTATGAATCAGCCCTGAGTCAAATTTAGGTATTTGTACAAGTTACATTTAAACATATGTTTCATGTGTTAATGCATATCAGCATTAATTAATAAATTTTTTTACCTGTCTAGAGTTCAACTTTTAGGCTCCATGTACACAAGCCTACCCTGATTGGCGGCCGCGGGAAAACGCAAATCGCGGTAACAGCAGTACTGCGTTTTTGACATGGTTTTGCCGCATTTTGCATTTTCCCGCTGTCGGCGGTCAAAACGTTCCTACCCTGAACGCGATTCTTTCCGTGTTCAGGAGAGGGAGGTTTAACCTTAGCTAAATGCGGCAGCTCCTAAACTCTGCTAAAAGCCTATGTGTACATGGACATAAGCTTTTATGGAGTTGAGTTTAGGAGCTTTGGCAAAAAAAATGCCAAAAGCTCCTAAACTCAAGTTTAGGAGCTGCTTGTGTACATGAGCCCTTCAGGAATATACT